ATATGTGAATTTTATGTAAATTATACCTCAAAGAGCTATGCTACTGGATTGCATATCACAGTTAACTCTTTGGGTCCCATTTTTTATACTCTGTTTTACTTTTATTTTTTTATTTTATTTTTTAAAATATATTTTTATTGATTTCAGAGAGGAAAGGAGAGAGAGAGAGAGAGATAGAAACATCAGTGATGAGAGAATCATTAACTGGTTGCCTCCTGCATGCCCCGACTGGGGATGGAACCCACAACCTGGGCATGAGCCCTTGACCGGAACTAAACCTGGGACTTTTCAGTCAGCAGGCCGACACTCTACCCATTGAGCCAAAGCGGCTAGGGCTGTTTTACTTTTTAAAATGTCTGAAACTCACATCTCAATAGCAAAACAAAATAAACAACCCACCCTATTTATAAATTGGCAAAGTATTTAAATAGACATTTCTCAAAAGAAGACATTTATTAGTATGTATGACCCACAGGTATATGAAAAGGTGCTCAATGTGAGTAATCACTAAGAAAATACAAATCAAAACAACAATGAGTCTTGGCCTGTGTGACTCAGTGGTTAGAGTATCAGCCTGTGCACCCAAGAGTCTCCAGTTTGATTCCCGGTCAAGGGCATGTACTTGGGTTTCAGGTTCAAGACTCGCCCCCTGATTGAGGTGAGAGAGGCAACCAATCGATGTGTCTCTCTCACATCCATGTTTCTCTTTCTCTCTCCACCCCCACTTCCACCCTCTCTAAAAATCAATGGAAAAATATATCATCAGGTGAAGATTAACCAAAGTAAATAAATAAATAAAGTTTAAAAAACAACAATGAGATATCACCTCACACCTGTTAGAATAGCTATTATCAAAAAGACAATGAATAGCAAATATGAAGAAATGGGAACCTTTGTAAACTGTTAGTGGGAATGTAAATTGGCATACCATGTATGGAAAACAGTATAGAGTTGTCACAGGGAAATATCTACCCAACCAGAGACTACATTTTCCAGCTGCCCCAGGCCATTACAATATTACAATATAAAGTATGACTATATTATAATCAACTAGAGGCCCGATGCATGAAATTCGTGCATGATGGGGGGCAGGGGGGTCCCTCAGCCCAGCCTGCATCCTCTCTAATCGGGGACCCCTTGGAGGATGTCTGACTATGGGATCAGGCCTAAACCGGCAGTCGGACATCCCTCTCGCAATCTGGGACCACTGGCTCCTAACCACTCACCTGCCTGCCTGCCTGGTCACCCTTAACTGCCTCTGCCTACCTGCCTGATTGCCCCTAACCTCTCTGCCTGCCTGCCTGGTCACCCCTAACTGCCTCTGTCTGCCTACTTGATTGCCCCTAAACACCACTGCCTGCCTGCCTGCCTGATCACTGCTAACTGCTCCCCTGCCAACCTGCTTGCTCCCAACTGCTCTCCCCTGCCAACCTGATCTCGCCTCCACCTACCCTCCCTGCCGGCCTGATCTTGCCCCCAACTGCCTTCCCCTGCGGGCCTGATCTCACCCCCAACTGCCCTCTCCTCCCAGCCTGGTTGCCCCCAACTGCCCTCCCCTGCCAGCCTGATTGCCCTTAACCCCCTGCAGTCCTGATCTCGCCCCAACTACCCTCCCCTGTTGGCCTAATTGCCCTCACAGTTCACCCAGATTAGGTTCTGATTGGTCGGTTTCTATGCCAGTCAGCATCAAAAGCTCTGCCTCCTAGGCAGCCATTGGCTCTTCTGGAAAGTCCAGAATGGCCCCGCTGACAGCTATCTCTCCCTCCCGGCCTATCTCTGGGCCTGATCCACAACTTCCGCAGCAGCTGCAGATCAGGCCCCGCCTCTCTCTTTCTCTGGGCCTCCCAGCAGCCCCGGGCTGGAGGCTAACGACCTTGCTGTGCCTACCTCACCTGCCCCCCGACCCCCCACCGCCCCGCCCACCCACCTGCTGCCAGCCTTGCTGTGATAGGAGCCTGTGGGCCTCAGGGAAAGAACCAAGAGGTGCTCCATACACTTCCTGGTGACTGGTCGTCTGTCTGGTCATTTAGGTTGTGAGGGCCCTAAGCTATTATTAGTATAGATGAAATATGAAGAAATGGTGTCACCTTTCCCAGGCCTAGCCGGTAAAAACTTCCCCCACAACATTTCTAAATTTTTAATTCCAACTAACTGGAATGGAGACAATCCTGGGGTTATAATGATAGAAACTGAGTCCCTAGCCACCCTGTTGACCTCTTAACCAGCCCAGTAATATAACATTCCAGTACTGTTATGTGAACAAGAAACCAACTTCTATTTAATTTAGGTGGCTATACATTTGTCACAGCAATTTGTTCACACTAATTCAGAAATGAGTACCTTTATGTTAAACACTAACAAAAACCTAAAAATATGGAGCAGGGATTAGCTATAGTGGATGGTGAGAAAATAGATATCATGAGCTAGAAAGACAGAGTCCATGTTATACAAAAGTATACATTTAAAAAATTATATTAGAGCCCTGGCCAGTGTGGTTCAGTGGTTAAGCATTAGCCTCCACATGGAAAGATCTCAGACTCAATTCCCGGTCAGGGGCACATACTTAGGTTCTGGGGTTTGCTCCCTGCCCCCAATTGGGGTGTGTGCAGGAGGCAACCAGTTGATGTGTCTCTCTCACATCAATGTTTCTCTCTCTTCCTCTCTCCCTCCCTTCTATCCTCTCAGAAAAAGCAATGGAAAAAATATCCTCAGGTGAGTATTAACAAAACAAAAAAATGATTTTAGACTATTCATCTAATTAAGGGATCTTGACATTTTATAAAGATAAGCAAGAGAAGCAAGAAAACCTTAGCTGGGTGTGTAGGGGAGGCAACTGATAAATGTTTCTCTTTCATATCTCTTTCTCTCTCTCTGTCTCTCTGTCTTAATCTCTTTAAAAATATCCTTGGGAGTGGATTTTAAAAAGAAAGGAAAAAAAGAAAAGAAAGGAAAAAAAAGAAAAGGAAAGGAAAAAAAATAGAATAATGATAAATACAAAAATGAGGCCAGGAAGAAGAGGGATGTGATTGAGGAAGGGCTAACAAAGAATTTCTAAGCTACTGGCAATATTCTGTTTCATAATCTGAGCAGTGAGTAAAGGTGTTCATTTTGTATTTTTTCTTGAAAATATACATTTATGTTTTATACATGCTTGTGTATATACAATAATAAAAGTAAAGGACTTCTAGTAGAGATGGTGGCATAGGTAAATGTGGTATACCAATCCTCCCATAAACACATCAAAATTACAACTAAATTAAAATTACAGAAGAACCTTCATTCAGAACTACCTGAAATCTAGCTGACTGGAAGTCCTATAACTAAGGAATTTAAGAAGAAGCCTCATCGAGACTGATAGGAGGGGCGGAGACACAGAACACATGTGTGGTGTATAAAAATCAGGAGGGATATCTTGGTTGTGAAGCCCCCCCCCCCGCCCCCACTCCTTGAGGAGTGAGCGGTCATAGCCCCACATCAGGCCTCCCAAAACAGAGTTCCAGTACCAGGGAGAGAAGTCCCCATATCTTCTGGCTGTAAAAGCTTGTGGGGATTGTGGCTGCTTGAGACCATCTGGGCACAAGCCACATTTTAACTGCATATGTGACTATGGTATTGGACAGCACAGAATACAGAACATTTCCATCATCACAGACAGTTGTATTGGACAGTATTGACCTAAGTAGATCAGGGCTGTGTATTTTACAGTCCTGAAGTACCTTGTGCTTTTCTTTTAGAGCACTTATCAAAGTTAATAATGAATTAATGTCTGTTTCCATACTAAATTTATGGCCCCATGAAGACAAGAACTGTGTCTATTTTGCTTACTGGTGTATGTCCAATGCTTAATATAGTACACGGCAAGTAATGGACCCTAAATAGATATGTGTCAAAGGACAAATAAATGAAGTTATATTCTAAAATATACAAAAACTCTAGTCCATGGAATTTGGGGTTCAGACTAGAAATATGGTAAGTAGGTTTGTGTATAGGCAAATGCTTTTGCATTCAAGTTTCAGATCACTTTCTCCTTTTCTGACTATTTCATTATCTTTCCTGAAATGAAGAGAACAATAGTATCTTGCTACTAAGATTTGGGGACCTGGTACTTTGATAATATTACTAAAAGGATGATGTTCAACATATAATCATTTCACAATTTACACTGAGTGGCCAGATTATTATGACCGGCCAGATTATTATGACCACCCCATCAGTACAATGAAGTGAATTAGTTATGCAAATAATCTATACTAATAAAAGGGTAATATGCTAATTAGACAAGACTTCTTCCAGATACAGCCACAGTGGCGGGGGCCAAGGCAGAGGCGGTTAGCGGCAATCAGGCCGGCAGGGGAGCAGGTAGGAGTGATCAGGCTGGTAGGGGAGAGCAGTTAGGAGTGATCAGGCTGTCAGGGGAGCAGTTAGGGGTGATCAGGCAGGCAGGGGAGCAGTTAGGGATGATCAGGCAGGCAGGCAGGGAGCAGTTTGTGGCATCAGGCAGGCAGGCAGAAGGGTTAGGGGTGATCAGGCATGCAGAGGGGTTAGGGGCAGTCAGGCAGGCAGGCAAGTGAGCGGTTAGGAGCCAGCAGTGGTCATAATAATCTGGCCACTCAGTGTATGTAAATCAAACCATCATGTTGTACACCTTTAACTTATATAGTGATGTATGTCCATTATTTTTCAATAAAACCATTTTATGTTGTTGTTCTTAGTCATGATCCATTTAAACATGTTGGTATTACTTATAACCAAAAAGATATTCTTATAACAAGTGAAAAATACTTAACGTCACTTATTTAGAATCATGATCATTAAATTTTATTTTGCATTGTAAGGTGAGAGAGAGGTTAAAGACTGCAATTTTATTCTTTTATAAATTATGCAATAACATACTTTAAAAAGAATAAACAGCCCAGCTGGCACAGAAATAGAATAATTAAAAGACTCTTTTATAAAAATAAAATCAAAATAATCAATTAAATTATAGCTATCATGGTTAGCAATGGATTGCATGTAAAGTTTGGTAATATTAGAAATATTGGTACTTGGTCATCATAATAGAGGGTGGAAACATTAGCAGCATGTAATATTGTTGCCCTAGGCTGACTGGAGCAGTGCTCTGATAGATGTGTTTTCACTGGGATTTAGCCTTAGTTAATACATCCACATCAGCTTTATCTGCGTCTCCAAGGCTTTTCTGATGGCTCTCAACCAGGACATTGTCTTCCTTTCTTCGGGACCTATGGGAAACATCCTTAGGAACTGTAGACTCTCCGAGGATCACTTCCTGCAGCAACTCCCGTAGCCACTCCTGCCTTTCCAACTTTTGCAGATGTTTACGCAGCTTATACAGAAGCTCTATTTCACCCACAGTTTTCCTCCTATAGGGAACAGAAACAGAGAAGCCACTCCATCAGCCCTCCTCTTCCCAACATAAAGCCAGCCCTGAAAGTCCTATCCCCAAGTCCTAGCCATGCAGAACAAGAAACGGTACTTACTTCATGGGTTTCCCATCTGATTTTGCAAAAACACAAATTACAAACATGATGATCATTACTTTAACGATCATTACTTTTGCAGACATCATCTTCACTAAAGAGGAAAAGCAAAATGCAGGTATTTAAAAAATGTTTTTACTATTCCAAACTATATAATTAAATTTAGCAGTTTACATTTATAACTATACAACTGTACACAGAGTGGTACAGCAACTAATTGCATTGGTTTTCATGGAGGAATTTTTAAAAAATATATATTTTTATTCATTTCAGAAAGGAAGGAAGAGGAAGAGAGAGATAGAAACATAAATAATGAGAGAATCATTGATTGGTTGCCTCCTGCATGCCTCCTACTGGGGGTTGAGCCCATGCTGTGCCCTTAACTGCAATCAAACCCAGGACTCTTTAGTCCACAGGCCAACACTCTATCCACTGAGCCATTACAGACACATTAGTATGTATTTTATATACACATAATTTGACTTAGAAATTAGACAGGTTAATTTTACTTTCTAGGTAAATTAGTTTTACTTTTTAGGGATCTTTTTGAGAGTTCCTGTGCAAGTTTTAATGTATGAATTTTAAGCCACAGGAATGAAAATGCATACTTTTTGGAATTTCCTCCTACATTTTATGTTGCTTATGACTAAGTGCTTATAATTTGCTTGGAAAATGACTAATTCTCTTACTTAGATAAATTATTAACACTGTTTATTTACTTAGAAAATTTATTTTTCACAAGTCAACATAATTTCAGGCACTGCATAAATAGCCACAAATACCAAATTAATACTCCCTGATTTAGAGATATTTTTACTAAATTAATGCACACTTCTACCATTTAAAAATGTGTCAAAGTATTTAAAAATCATCTAATTAATTATAAGAATTTAGAGCTTTGACTTCATATAATATGCTTGTTGTCGTGTTTTTTTTTTTCATCAGGTTCTTTTAAAACTATCTTGTCTGAGTATAATTTTTAGCACTTTCCTCTTTTGTTGTTCATGATTTTCATCTCAAAATAGACTAGTCTTATCTTAATCTGCACTTTAGTAATTGCAAAGCCTATTGTTATAGAAGTGCTTTTTCTTAATGCTTAATGTTCTCTGTTTTAACATACACATAGAGAATCACTATGCACTCATATTTTAAAGGGAAATGACTTTATTTATTTATTTTGAAGTGGTAGCATCATTTAAAAGTGGTATAAGAATCAGAGCAGTATGAGAAAGAGAGATCGACCCCCGGACCCAGCAAAGACACTGAGCTGCTGCATCCCCCTTGTCCTGCTCTGACATCCCACCACCATCACCATCATGCCCAAGAGGAAGGCAGAAGGGGATGCTAAAGGAGATAAAGCCAAGGTGAAGGACAAACCACCGAGAAGATCCACCAGATTATCAGCTAAACCTGCTCCTCCAAAGCCAGAGCCCAAGCCGAAAAAGGCCCCTGCAAAGAAGGGAGAGAAGGTACCGAAAGGGAAAAGGGAAAGCTGATGCAGCAAAGATGGGAATAGCCCTGCAGAAAATGGAGATGCCAAAGCAGACCAGGCACAGAAAGCTGAAGGTGCTGGAGATGCCAGGTGAAGTGTGTGCATTTTTGATAGCTGTGTATTTCTGGTGACTGTACAATTTGAAATACTATTATTTTATCAAGTTTTATATAAATGCAGAATTTTGTTTTACTTTTTTTTTCTTTTAAGCTATGTTGTTAGCACACAGAACACTTCATTGTTATTTTGGGGGAAGGACATACAGTACTAATAGAATGTCTCCGAGGCTGGACTGACATGGGGGGAAATACCTTTCCCTTCTAGTTTTGAG